TGTGGGCAACCAGTATTCGTGACCTCTGTTTATGCATCCTTTATGTTTTGTGTTTTATATATATATATATATATATATATATATGTGTGTGTGTGTGTGTGTGTGTGTGTGTGTGTGTGTGTTATATATATGCATATGCATATATATTATAAATAATATATATTAAAGATATGCATGTGCCACCTCGTTTACTTTTTCCATTTTTGTGACTTCAAATTGTATCACTGAAATCCTATGTAAGCCTTACTCTTTGATGGTTTAATTTGTCCTATGCTGTGATGTCTTCTGTACCTGTGGGTCACTCACATGAGCTACTGCTCTGTAAAGATGTGCAGTTGTCATAAAGACATGCCTGTCACCCTCTTATCTACCTATTCTTTAAGCAAAAGACACATGGGCTAGGCACAGCTCCCAGCTTGAGAGACAGTCAATGCCACTGTGAATCCTCAGGTGCTTGCTTCCTGGTGTACAGATGTGAGCTCACTAAGGCATACACTGAGTAAAACTGTGAAGTCAAGGGGGACAAAATACATTCCTCACCACCAGTGTGTCTTTTCCATGGTGGCAGTACAAATGCTTAATATTCTCAAGTTGCTTGTTTCTCATTTTCTTAATCTGACAGCATGTATTAGTCCTATAATTTATTCAATAAATAATCATACTTTGCTTAATCATCTCTAGTCTGTGTCTATTATATGGTTAACTTATGGTCTCTCCCTCATCGTCCATGGGCTAGCATTTAGAACTAGACATACATTTAGTCTGGAAAGTCTACTCGTTCTTGGTAGACTGCAGGAGGAATTATTTTTTTCTTTTTTAATATCTATATAAAATAACGAGCAATTTACAGATCTTTCTCTATTGTACATATATAAACATTTACAATCAGGACATCCATGTTTTGCTCAGCATTCCAAGGCCATGTGGCTAAGTCATGTTTGCAGACTGTATATAATCAGTACAGTGACAGGTTACTTAAGGAAGAGCCACATCAGAATGACAGCATATGACATCAAAGTTATGTCACAATTAACAATAAAAATAGGATTTGTATTACTAATTGTGGACTATAGGGAAAATAAATCATTTCTGTGGTACTAAATTCTTAGCATTTATTTTGCCTATTCAAGTAGTTGTAATAGATGGGTTAAATATAGTTCTGGGTGGAAGCATGTGTTACCTACAGGGGCCAGTACAGTTGGTCACAGTGAAGTTTGTCAGACTCACAGGGTAACAGAATGATTGTTCAAATACTCCCTAAGTAGACAGTTTTGGTCTGAGAATTGTGTCTGTGTTTATAGATGCTTCTGAATGCTGTTTCAAGGAACCAAACTAACATCCCAATCTATTATATGAGGTTAAAACGTGTCTCCAACTTTCAGCAAACATTTTTCTTCTTAGACTTTAGAAAAGAACTCTGAAATATTTTCCTGTTTTTAAATAGTTAGCTAAAAGTTAAAAGTTCCAACACGTGTGGTCTACAGCATATTAGTCCTGACTTGCTGGGAAAGCCCAATGCAGGCACTGCTTCTAAATCCCTAAAACTCCTGCATCTGCCCCAGATAAACTTCTTTCTCTATGCCATAGGAGCTGGTGCTTTATCTGACAGTGAATCTGCAGGAGGAATTAAACATACATACTCTGAATCCAAAATGCCTGCCTAAGTTCAAAACCTAGCTCTGGGTCTGGAGAGATTGCTCAGTGGTTAGGGCACTGGCTGCTCTTGCAGAGGACCTGGATTCAATTCCCAGCACCCACATAACATCTCACAATCAGCTGTGACTCCAGTCCTAGGGGATCCGATGATCTCTTCTGGCCTCCTCAGGTACCAGGCACACATGTGGTACATAGACCTACATGTAGGCAAAGCATTCATAACCACATAAGATAAAAATTAATTAAAAACTTTCACTGACTTGCATGCCTGTGATATGCTAAGATATCATGATATAGGGAGTTTCCTTATTGTAACTCATAAGGCTGCTTTACACAAAATCCATACATTACGGAATTAAACACAACAGAGTCTCAAATGTGACAGACATGAGCAGATGTAACTACCCACATATTCACTGCAGTCAGTCGTTCTCTGTCTGCCTCCGTTCTTCACTTCTCCTAAGCAGTCAGGGCCCCATGAATTCCAACTCCACTCACAAACAAGGCAGCCAGGGCCCCCCAAACACAGAGCCATGAATTCTAACTCCATTCACTAACATGGCCAGGGCAGTCCACCTTAATCTCTACTGGAACACAGTCATCACATGGACAGTTCTAGAACTTTCCTTCATGAAAGCCAAACTCCACAAACCCCATGTCTCAAGCCGTCTTCCTCCCCTTGTCTTTAAACAAACTCAGAATTCTCTCTCTCTCTCTCTCTCTCTCTCTCTCTCTCTCTCTCTCTCTCTCTCTCTCTCTCTCTCTCTCTCTCTCTCTCTCTCTCTGTGTGTGTGTGTGTGTGTGTGTGTGTGTGTGTATGAGAGAGAGATATGTTTACCATAATTGTTTCCAACTTGTACTTGCTCCTCATTCTGTCTCACTGTCTGGGAGTGGGTTGTGTCCAGTCACTAGTGACTTCCAAGCCACTGAATCATACAGTCACTTCTGCCCCTCTTAATGGACCTCTTGGCAGCCCAAATACGATGGAACATTTGCTTCTTGAAATACCTTCCCTGGTTTCCCTCACCACACACCCCTGGCATCCAGCACACATCCCATAAAAACACACATCAACAAGTCCCCTTCACAGGCAATGTCTTTCCTTCCTGCTTTCTCTGAAGCTCATCCTACCCATTCCTGAGATGGTGATGCCTTTCAAATGCTCATGGTATATAGCTGGAGGGATAGCTCAGGGGTTAAGAGCACTGGCTGCTCTTCCAGAGGACCCAGGTTCAGTTCCCAGCAACCATGTCTGGAGGCTCACAACTGTCTGTAATTCTAGCTCCAGGGGGATCTGACACTTTTGGCCTTCATGCGCACTGCACAAACCTGAGCGCACACACACACACACACAGACACACATCTGTATATAACTTAAAAAGAACAAAAATAAACTTTTAAAATGCTCATGGTTTTCAATATAAAAGCCCTGACTTTGAGTCCCAGACTTCCACACCCAACTGCTTGCTGGCCATCACCTGTACTTTATGGTTCAACCATAATGGTGGCTGAGGAACAGTCCCCATTTGTTGGAGGCCATCACTGTGGCTAGTCTCTCTGGCTTGTAACAACATAACCACTAGCTAAATTTCAGCTTCCTTAGTCTTTCAAATCTTCACCCCAATGTCACCTTCTCAGACAGGCCCTCTGACTAGCCCCATACAAAGAAGCCCCCAAGCCTCACCCAGCCTTGTTCAGCTCTGGCCATCAGTACTGTGCTGCTATGGCCTTTACAGCATGATTATATCAGAAGCCAGCTTTTTGTCAATGTATCTTGTTCCTGAACATCCCCCTCCCCTGCTTGGAATACCCAAGTCTTTGAAGAGACAACAAGGGCCAAACCATGGGATAAACAAAGCCTTTCTTTATTTTATTCTATAGAAAGGAGAAAAACACATTTCGCAGGTGACTTGTTTAGAGGGCTCAGGGACATAAACAATAGCACCTTTTCATGCCAGTCATCCAAAGACGTCAGGAACAAAGTAATGAATGGGGGAAAGGGCACCCTTGTAAGCCTGGTATAGCATACTTAGTGTACTGAATGACATGTAGATTGATTTTCTTCCATAGAAATGACATCTCTATGAATGTAAGCACCACAAGCATTCCTACAAATGTCAACTGTGTTGTGAATCTCTGAGGTTCTCTACACGCATCCATAACAATGACAGATGCAGAAATACTGAATGTCTTCAATCAATCAGGACACGCAGAGAACACTGGCATTTACATGCTCCTACATAGCATCATTAATCAGGCTGGAGTGCAATTTTATTTCCAAGCATTCAACAAAAGTTATTTTTGTGTCTTGACTTCTGATTTAGCTGTAAGATACTGAAAAAATTCTACACAGTCGGGCAATGTGCGAGGTCATGAGAAATGGCTTAAAAGTAAAAATGACCTACCAGGTAATTCGCACATAAATCCTTGGTGCTAAATCCTTAGGCTAAAAATATCCACTGGCAAAGAAATCCTTACTTAAATGGAAAAAGAACATTGAAGAGGATGGTATGTGCCCTGAAAAATCCAGGTTCAAAATGAATATATATATTCTCAGTTGTTCAAATAGGGTCTGTCATTTGCTATATATATACCAAAGTATAATACCTTTATAAACTGTGTTTTTAATTTCTGTTGCCTTCTCACGAGGCTTGCATTGATTGTTTTACTGAACTGCAAGTGTTCCCAATTTCTCAATTCCTGTCCTGCACACTACTTCCCACCCCCTCTCTGGTCTCAACTAATAGATAAAATGCAAAATCAGAAGTAGACTGAAGATGTTTTATTCATGGTTAGGCTTCTGTAGTTCCAAAAAAGGAAGCAAATTTAACCACATATCCAGAAGAAGGCACAGACCATAACCGAGAAGAAAGGCTGACTTGGCCTTTTGTGTTCAGACACACTGGCTTCAGTCCTGCCAAATGAAACTCTTGTTCTTTGGCTGGTAACACTTCATGAGCAGAGGTGGGGGCTAGGGTGTGGAGGGGGAGACACTTGAAGACTTCCCTGCACTGTATGGATGTAGCAGTCAGGTACCCCAGGTATGATATTATTGCAATGTCAAGCAGGTAAGTACTATGACAGCAATGGCCACACTCACAGCTGCAACAGCAATGGCACTGGAGCCATCAGCACAAAGCCCAGAAACCCTTAAGGTCCCTTTCATTCACTGGACTATCAGTCTTCAGTCTACTAGCTGGCTGAACCACAAAATCAGTTTCCACAGACTGAATCCAATGTGTCCCATCAGAGACCAGAGGCAGCAGGAACAGAACTGCCACACACTAGTCCTGATACTTACCTGATTTTGGAAAAGAAGGATGAATTTAGACATGAGTCAAAAGTAAGCTTCTTGGAAAAAAGAAATACATTGTAAAAAAATAAACACACAGGGACTTTTGTTGGTATTGCTTTAAACCTTTGGAGTTTGGAATTCTTATAAGCAAGGTTAATGAACAGGTTGAAAACATAAAGGAAAGCATTACAATATACAAAACTTAAGAGCTTGAGATCAAATCATATGCAAATACCTTTTTTATAACAAAATCACTTTAAATGTTAACACACAATGTTTTTTATACAATAATACTGACTTACTACATATTAAATTACTACATATTAAAAGCTATGGTTTGAAAATGAGGGCTGCTTCAAAACATTTTATTCCAATTTCATTCTCTAAGAACACAGGGAAATTGCTAAATCCTATGCTGTCCTTCCATGAGGGTCTGTGCTGCAGCTGCCAGGGCAGAGGCTGTATAGAAGCAAGTTACTATGTAACACTTGGAGAAAAACAAGAGTTACACCAGCTCCAGGTGCTGCTCATAGCCTGAGACTCCCACCGGGTTCCCACCGGCTTTGCTGACACAGAAGAGACCTGTGGACCCAGCATCATAACTCCTGGCAACACTCTACACTCCAGGAGAGGGCTTCTGGGAGAATGATACCAATGCATGCTTCAAAATGAGCAGGAACTTCAGCAGATGGCCTTGAATCTGTTTCTAAGGTGCCACCAGCAGAGAAGGTAAAACACAAAAACCATAATTGTATAGCCAGGGGATTTCACATTTATGAATCAGCCTCAGTACCTCATTTCTACTGAGTACCTGGGAACTAATTTCTATCAATAGGACCCTTTAAAGCAATGGTTCTCAATCTTCCTAATGCTGCTTCCTAATGGTGACCTCCAGCCATAATATTACTTTCATTGCTACATCCTAACTATAATTTTGCTACTCTTTTGAATCATAAGTATCTGTTCTTTCTGATGGTCTTAGGTGACCCTTGTAAAAGGGTCATTTTAACCCCAAAGGGGTAGTGACCCACAGATTAAGAATTGCTGGCTTAAAGGTTCATCCCACTGGCAATATCCATGTCAAAAGACACAATGTTTATATAGCATGACAGCCAGTCATATCCTTGTATTAGAGTCCCCATTACAATGAAGAAAACAAAAAAAGAATTCAGGTACCATTTATTTCCTGTGACAGTCACAAAGCTGTTGTGTCACATCCCAGAAAAAAAAAAAAAGGACACAGTAATCACTGTGTTACAATGATGACATCAATCAAAAGGAGTGATTTTCCCCAGTCTCCCATATGAGTCCACCCATCAAAAAATACCCTATTTCCACGAAGGCTGAGAAACATCTATTCCATGTGGCATACACAAGCAGCTGGACCACAACTTAGCGGTTGGGGTGCATCTCTTTATCTGCTCCCCCAGGCTCTGTTCTATAATTCTTCTCTTGGATCCTTCTGTGTCTTCTGCGTGGCGCTGCCTTCCTCACTGGGTGCCAGCCACGTGAGATACACCTTCACTGGGTCAATGTGCCAGTGTTTGTGAAATGATATAGGGATCTGATGGGAGAGGTAGTCCTTTGGGTAATCTACTGGCCGAGCCTGCACAAAAAACAGAGAGTTACAGTTTCCTGGGGATTAGAGTGATTGGCTCGTCCCCCCTGCAGTAGATCGGAACAAATACAGAGATCCACAACTGGACAATGCAGAGAGACCTTGGAACACTCAGTCCCAAATGGGATGTCTCCATCAAATCCTTCCCCTCAGGGCTCAAGGAACTCTGCAGAAGAGGAGGCAGAAAGAGTGTAAGAGCCAGTGGGGAGGAAAGACACCAAGGAAACAAGGTCATCTAAACACAGCAGGACCAATGCACACATGAACTCACAGAGGCTGTGGCAGCATGCACAGGACCTGCATAGGTCTAAGCCAGATGGGGTCCCAGTGCTGAGGAAGGGAGTGGACACAGAGGCCCCCATCCCTAACCCAGAAGCTATCTCTAGTTAATAACTCCTTGAAAAGAAAACATTAGTTTTCTCCAAAGGAGTCTCCCTGGGTATACAAACCACACTAAGGGTAGGCTCCATGCCCAGCAGTCGATGGCCAACACAAAATGAACCCATTGCTATTTTTAGAGGGTTATTGTTGTTGGGTTTTTGTTTGTTTGTTTTTGTCAAGGTTGTTTTTTTTTCTTTTACAGGTCTTTTGCTTATATACTATGGTTTCCTATTTTGTGATTTTATGAGACATCTGTGTGTGCAAATATGTGTATATCTACATCTTTATGTGTTTCTTGTGCTTTTCCCTTGGCTCTTTTTTTCTTTTTCTTTGTTTTGTCCTATTGTGGTTTGTTTATTTTTACTTTATCTTATTTTTGTTGTTGTTGTTTTTAGATCCCTGTTTGTATTCTAATGAAAGAAAGAAAGGGTGGGGAGGTGGCGAGGATCCGGGAGGAACTGTGTGGAGGGGGCTCTACTCAGAATGCATTACATGAAAAAAAAATATCCATAGAAAAAAGGATTAGCTCAGCAGGTGAAGATGTTTGATGTCAAGCCTGAGGATCCGGATCCATCCTCCCTCAAGCCCATATGTTGGAAAGGGGGAACTGATTCTAGCAAATTCTCACCTGACCACAACATGAACACTGTGATGGCATCCTTCGTCCACACACATAATAAGTAAAGGTAAATCTTTTAAATTATTATTTCAGAATAACATTTTGTTTTGCTTTTTGAGATGGGATCTCGCTACATAGCCCAAGATGGCCTGGAACCCCCTATGTAGAGCAGGTTGGCCTTGAATGCTGGGATTTAAAATGCATGCCACCAACAACTGGTCCAAGAAAAACACTGATCCATATTGCAGCTACTTTACCCTAATATTCTATAGTGACTATGGGAGCCTTAAAGCAAGAAGGAACATATTTTCTACTACTTTCCCTCAAATTTCATATCCATTGCCTTTAATTTCTCTAATTACTTTAATTTCTCAAATGCTTTACTCTCTATGCCTGTATTCCACACTTGGCTTCTGGGAGACTGTTCCAGCATGGCAATAAACAGAAAAGGTTTCTTCCATGATTCATTCAAGTCATCAGTGTGTGATATAACTTTTGATTAAAAACAAAAAAAAAGGAAGAAAAACATATTTACTGGGTCTCTTCCAAGAAACTGCCAGGCACGGGTTATGCAGGAGGTGAGGCAAAGTGTTGTCGTGGGCCTGGCCAACATATCCAGGTGACAGCTTTCAAAGAAGGAAAACATCAGTTCACTGTATTGAAAAGCAGTGTAATTCTGATCTAGACATACAAACGAAAACAAGGACTAAACCTAAGAAAAACTAAAAAGGTTTAATATCATTGCCATTCAAATTCTCTACAGCTCAGAGAACGAAACACAGGCAGAATTAGACAGACATGCCCTAAAATGGCAAGATATAGGACAAAAGCTGCAGTGTTCAAAGGCAAATTGGAACCAGACGTGATCTTGTTTGCATTAATCAAAGCATCCAGTTTATGTCAGTAAGTTTTATATAGCGATTTGTTTTATATAGTAAATTATTTAGCTTATAATATTGAAATTGTCTCAAGTGTTAAAATGATATGTAACACACTTTTTTAGATTCTTTTATGTATATGAGTGTCTGCCTCCACATATGTATGTATGTGTGTCACAAGCATGCCTGGTGCCATCAGAGGTCAGAAGAAAGCACTGGATCCCTGCAATGGGAGTTACAGATGATTGTGAGCCATCACATGGGTGCTGGGAACCGCACCTGGGTCCTCTGCAAGAATAGCAACAAGCTTCTCTGATGATGGCTGAGTAAGACACTGATAGCAGTGGAGATGTGGCCTATTTTTGTTTGTTCCACATCAAAACTGACTATTTTGACTGACATATTTGTTACGTTTTCATCTCTTTTTTTTTTCCCCAAGCCACATTATCTCTTCTAGAAGCAAAGTTTTTACTTATTCCAGTGAGGTACATACGGGTAAAAATTGTGTTCTTTGTAGCCAAGCTGAAAGGGTAGAAAACAGGCAGAATGACAGTGACCTTGGGCATGAAGGACTTATATCCCATTATTCATATTCAAAAGTACATATAGCAGGAGATTTTTTTGGGAAATCAATGCTTCTCAATTTATTGCTAGTTTTTATTTGATGTCCACAGTCCTGAAATCATTATTTACTTTTGCAAATCCTTGTCCAGTTTAATATTTGTATTTTGTGCAAAGAATTCACTGACCACTGCATATTGACATATCCATTAGTGAAACGAGATTTTGAAAGGGGTGATCTAGACATTCCTTATAGTCCCCTTCTAACCTATGATTCCACAATGATATGCCTTGACAGAAACAGAAGGTAGCCTGGCTAGTGCTGCCACCGAGAACACTCCAAGACCCCCTCTCCATCTTTCACATAGCGGGAATCTGAAGTGTGGGTACACCATCTCAGCCTTCTCACAGCACAAATACAGCATGGAGATCTTGGTTCAGACCCTGCAAATGAAAAGCCCTCCTAGAAACCGATCACATGCTAGAAGATGCTGAAGACAGCAGATACAGCAGTGTCAGTTGCAGGCACCGGTTATAAACACACTGTAGCTTCACATCGGGTTCAGGTTTATCATGGGAATTAGAGAAAACACCATGAGGAACAACACATAATCCTAAAGACATCGTTTCTGAATTATCTTCAAAGGAATTTCACTTCAGGACTATGTTATCTTTCTGTCTTCCTTTCTTATAATTTTATTGACTAATGTATTTTATCCTAGGAGGAAGGGGCTGCAATAGAAAAATTTAATTAATCTTGATAAATTACTTCCCTCATACCCAAACAGTTTTAATTCTTTTTCCAGGAGTGAAACATTGTGACATAAAACATCATAACATAGAGTCTAAGAGGGAGGGACAGAGGATAATTCACTTTCTGAGTTATCGTAAAGATAGCATAAGACACAGGCTTAGACGGGAAAGACTTCTGGAGGCCTGGGTGCATATGTGCTTTCCCCCAGGGGCCAGGAGTGGGGTTCCAGCGAACTTCATGTGCCTTCCCCTAGGGCCAGGAGTTGAGTTCCTGTGAGCTTCATGATCCTTCCCCCAGGGCCAGGAGTGGGGTTCCCTGTGAACTTTGTGTGCCTTCCTGGGGGTTAGGAGAAGTGGGGGTTCCTGAGAGCTTCCTGTGCCTTCCCCCAGGGGTCAGGAGTGGGGTTCCTGTGGGCTTCCTTTCACAAAGGTTTATTCCTAACCTCCCTGTGTTTTTCCAGATCCAATATGGGTTCTATCTTTGTTGCCAATGCTTACACTTTCTTTGCATTAATGGTTCAAGGTGTTTTTCTACAGTGAAATTCTGCCATGTTCAGTTTTTTATATTGCTGTGCTAACATTTGCTACTTATTGCTTTAGAAAAACAGAGAGAGAGAAAGAGACAGACAGAGAGAGGAGGAGAGAGAGAGAGACAGAGGTTTGGAGAGATTGCTCAATGGCTTTTGCATTGCAATGGGTTCAGTTCCCAGCACCTAGATGGTGGCTCACAACCATCTGGAACTCCAGTTCCTAGGGACCCAGCACCCTCTTCTGGCCTCTGAGGTACTGCATGGGTAGAGCACAGACTCACACGCAGGCAAAACACTCATTTACACTTAGATAGTAAGAATAATTTTAAATAATTTAAAAAGCATAGAGGCTATATTTTTAATATATGGTGGGACTTAAAGTTTACATGCATCCATATTCAAATTTTAAAAGACTTCATATTTCTTAAAAGGATATATGTATATTAAATGGATGTGAATTATATGATATCATTTTTATAACATTAGTTGACTAGATTCTTAAAATATTACTAAAATTAATGGGAAGAATTCCCTTTTCCAACTCTGCAATTCATATCAATAATTTATGAAAAGCATCGCCCCATAAATACCATTTTATCCTTTTATTGACTAATATAACCAACCATTTTATTGGTTTTCTATAATCTGGGAAATACATTCAGACACCACCCAGAAATTTAGTGGACTTCAGTCACCTGTTTAAAAAGTAAGCTAAGGAGAAAAGCCCAGAAAAACTCAACAAGCCAAAATAAAAACTGAGGATACTATGAACTTACTTCTACCTGATGGCCTCCAGCCTGTAAAGACACAAGTTCTTGTTTCCTATCAAGGTCAGCAATTGTGGTTGACATCTACGGTTTTTCATTTCCTGTCCCTCAGGAAATGATATATTGATATATGTCTGTCTAGCTTCCCAAAGGAGAAGAGAGAAGGGGGAGAGCAGAGGAGAGAGAAGGGAAGAGAAGAGAGGAAGGAAAGGGAGAAGGAAGAAGGGGAGGAAAGGGGAAAGGACGGGGTGAGGGGGGGAGAAGAAAAGTGAGCTTCCTAGTGCTATCTGCAAGTCCACTGGTCCAGTATCACTTGGTTTTCTCAGTGTTGCTGCCTCATCTTTAAGAGGCACATGAAAAGTACAAGATCTGGTAAAAACCTCTCTCATGGAAGGGCTGGAAATATGGCTCAGTGGTTAAGAGCACTGGCTGCTCTTCCAGAGGACCCAAGTTCAGTTTCCAGGACCCACACGGCAGCTCCCAACCATTCATAACTCCAGGTTCATGAGATAGGGTGCTGTTTTCTGAACTCTGTGGGCATAGACACATACATAACACACATACACACACACACATACACACACACACACACACACACACAC